CTGGGAACTCGAAGAACACGAAGTGGCCTACAGCTGGCTCTGGGCATTCAAAATCATGCCCAGGAATGGAGTTCTGGGAACTCGAAGACCACGAAGTGGCCTACAGTTGGCTCCGGGCATTCAAAATGTGGCCCGGGAATGGAGTTCTGGGGACTCGAAGACACGAAGTGGCCTACAGTTGGCTCCGGGCATTCAAAATGTGGCCCGGGAATGGAGTTCTGGGAAGTTCTCGAAGAACACGAAGTGGCCTACAGTTGGCTCTGGGCATTCAAAATGTGGCCCGGGAATGGAGTTCTGGGAACTCGAAGAGCACGAAGTGACCTACAGTTGGCTCCGGGCATTCAGAATGTGGCCCGGGAATGGAGTTCTGGGACCTCGAAGACCACGAAATATGTAACTGTTGGCTACAAAAAAAACTCGGCATCCTCCCCCGGATCGCGCCCAGACCCCCCTGGGCCTCATGATGTTCTCTTTTGACCCTACTAGAAACCTATCAGTCTTCGCTGTTAGGTAACTTTGCCCCCACCATCCCTGGTATCAAAACAATACAACACACACTCTGCCTCCAAATTCGGAGCATGCACAGCGAACCCGATGCGGCCTCCTTCCACCATCCCTGTCAAAAAACCATACAGAGTACACTTGGCGGCGGTGGCGGCTGCGGCGGTTGCGGCGGGGGCAGCGGCTGCGGCTTCTGCGGCGGTGGCGGCGGCGGGGGCGGCGGCGGCGGCGGCAGCGGTTGCGGCAGCGACTGCGGCGATTCGGCAGCGGGGGGGGCGGCGGCGGCGGCGGGCGGCGCGGTGGCGGCGGCGGACAGCGGCGGCGGCGGCGGCGGCGGCGCGGCAGCGGCGGCGGCGGGCGGCGGCGGCGGCGGATGCGCCCCCGGTAGCCGCCCACTCAAAGACGACTGCTGCAGATGCTGCGGCTCGGGCCAGGCTCGGGTGCTACGTATGTGTTTGGAGGGCGGGTGGGAATGAGCGAGACGGCTTGCGGGCGGGGAGGGAGACTCATGACCCCTCCCCCTACCCCCTACCCATGGACCTGGACAAAGGGTTTCGCGAGTCGTCGGAGCGTCCAAAACGGCCTCGGCGAGGAAGCCAAAATCATTTGTTTTACCATGGTTTTGGCCCCATATTGGCCTCCTGGGGGGGGAGGACTGTAATTCGTAACACCCCCTCCTGTGATCGATCTCACCCAAGATGGCCCAAAGACGGCCCCCAAGGGTCCCCAGGATACCCCCAAGAGGCTCCCAAGAGACTCCCAAGAGGCCCCAAGAGATCCCCCAGAGGCACCCAAGATGCTCCAAGAGGCCTCGGCGAGAATGCCAGATCATTGATTCTACGCAGGTTTTAGCCTCATGTTGGCCTCTTGGGGGGGGCACTGATTCAGATGACTCCAAGAGCGCCTGGGAGAGCCTAAGATGACCTCCAAGATGGCTCCAGATATCCCAAGATGTCTCATGATGGCTTTCTCTGTGTGCTGCCCACTTCCCTGATCGAGGCAATTCCTCTGGGCATCGTTTCTAGATGGGCTGGTGGGGATTCGCAAAGCGTCAACAATAGTGCTTGCACTTAGGGGTTCTTTCTTCTGTTCTGAGGAACTGGGTGGTGTGTTCGGTCTGGAGGCCGCCGTCACCGCCCCGTCGCCGCCCTGTCGCCGCCCGTCGTCTGGGCCGTGTCTTCGGTCTGGCAGCTATGTGGCCGCAGTCGCCGTCCCGTCGCCGCCGTTGGATTGCACCACGTATATTGCAGGATAAAAATCGCGCCTGCGGCGCGCTGTTTGTTCGCTCGCAATGCCAATTGCACCACAAATACTGCACCACAACACTGATTGCGATTGCGCAACATATACTGCACAACCACATATATTGCACCACATTAGTGCACAACAAATATTGCACAACATCGATTACACAACACATGTTGTACAACCACATCGACTGCACTGCACATGTTACGCACATGCACACACAGACACATGTGTGTATATATATGTGTATATACATAGTCGGCAAGACACAGACAGCACAACATCGAGTGCACCGCATAGATTGCACCACACTGATTGCAACATCGATTGCACGATTTGTTGTTCGTGCCTCTGGCGCGCTTTTTGACCGCTCACAACATAGATTGCACTACAAATGTGGCACAACACAAGCTGCACCACATATATCGTGCAACATAGGTTGCACCACATATATTGCACCACGTATTTTGAACAATCTTCCCCAATCAGGGCTTGAACTGTAAGCCGCCGATTTCGGTAAGCGGCCGGGTTCCGAGGTTCCTGGGTCTGGGTTCCGGGTTTTCGTTTCCGGGTTTCGGAGTGGTGTTGGCGACAATTCGCCGCCAATTTCGATAGGCATCCGTGTTCCCGGGTTCCTGGTTCTGGGTTTCGGGTTCCCGTTTCCGGGTTCCAGATTGGTCTCTGTGGGCGGCTGGCTTCCTGGTTCTGGGTTCCGGGTTCCCGTTTCCGGGTTCTGGATTGGACTCGATGGGTGGCTGGGTTTCCAGGTTTCCATTTCCTGGTGCCAGGGTTCGCCACAGCACATGTAGATATGTAAATGTGTATACATGTATATATATATATGTGTTTATATTTATACACACATGTATATGTACACCTATATATATGTACAAGCCACGGAGAGGGAGAGGTATATGCGGAGTGGATGTGTAGTTGTACGGGTGGGTATAGATATGTACGTACAGCACTTGAACACATTATATATACATAAACATGTTTATGCGTACACATCTATATATATGTATATATAATACCAGCCCATATACTGATTCGGTTTTCTCGGGTGTAACTGATACATAGCACCGCGTATATTCCACAACATATATTGCACAACATAGATGTCTAGAACACATACTGTTTGGGGTCGACGCTGGCTAATATCATGTTGAAAACAATCCAAAAGAAGGCTGTGCTGTTTCAAGGTCCACTTACAATCTGGGGCAGCCAGAAATTTATGTTCATGACTCTGACTCCCGATAACTGTCGTTACCTGGTAGGGCCGGGTAGCGGCGGTAACGCTTGGACGGGGTAGGACACGTCGGGGCAGGGGTGCGCTGCGATCGCCCCAGCATGCGCGCGAGCAGTGGCATGCGGAGAGGAGTCCAAGCACCCCCTCCGTACGTATGATCATTCTGTTACACACTGGGAAACGGGCTTGGACCGGGTAGCGACCGTTACGCGCCAGAGGATAAAACAAGCATCCCCGAACATATTCGATACCCTTATCCGCTACTGGACCTCTCCTGGGGTGCGTTCTGACCAAGATTTGAAGCGAATCCGGCCGTGGCGAAGAGAAAAGGGTATCGGTGTTCCCTGCTCGGACCCCGTGGGTATAGTCTGCCTCCTGTTACCGAACATCCGACGACGCACGATACTTGCTTCAATGCGTGGCCCCAGGGGTGCTGAACCCTTCCCCAGGAGGCATTTTTTTTGCACAAGACCCATCTTGATGGTCCCCTGGCCCGATTGCGGCCCCAAAGACCGAGATCGACGACACACGCCGGGATTGACGAAACCATATCGTCGGAGGTCTCGGTTTCTCGGACGCTTGGGGAACAACAATATTCCAATACTGCTAATCACTCCACGGACCGCTCGTGGGATGCGTTCTGACTAAGGTTTCGAGGAGGATCCAGCAGTGGCGACGAGAGACGGGTAGCGATATCTATCTTCCTCCCCCGCTTCCCTAGAAAAACAAAACATAAGCATACACTCTTGGAGGTCTGCGCGGAGTTCTTGGATCGGCGCTGGTCCCCCCCCCTCCCTGGCGCACGGAGCGCGCAAGTGCCGGCGCCAAAGGCGCCGGTCGCAAGGGGGGTCCAATGCGGATCCAAGTAATCCGCGCGGGGCTCCGACAAATGATGGTTATGCAGACTTTCGTACTCCCAAAGCGGCCGCGGCAGCCCGCCACCACTGAGGTATTCGAGCACAGGGGCGGCAGGCGGAAATCAGGGATGCCATGAGGCGGAGGAGGCGGAGTCAAGACCTCACGCCTCGGACGCCCCCAAGTCCCCCTCCTGAGACTAATCCCCTACGGCAGGTTCGTGTCGTGTCGACCCCAGCGTTGGTTTCTGACATCGCGGGGATCGTTCAACCTTGAACGATCGGGCGTTTCCGAAACTCCAGGTCGTTCAGCATCAACCGACTTTGGGTCGCCGGCGGCGTTCAACGTTGAACACCGGCGGCGGGAGCGCCGCCAGTCGATACGACGCGAACCCACCGTAGTGATCCTCGTCGTCTGGTTTTCGGGTTATGACTCGGGTCTGCGGCGGCCTCTCAGGACGATCCGGGCACCCCCGGGAAAGCTCACGGCGGGACGCGGCCGCTGGAAAAGGCATTCCGAAGAGCTGGCAGACGGCCGACGGAACCTACGGCACCGCCCAACAAAACCGCGAAGCTCGAAGCTGGAACCTCGCAGCTGGAACCTCGAAGCTGGAACCTGGAACCTCGAAGCTGGAACCTCGAAGCGTGCTCCCGATATCGGCACATCTTCCTCCTCGTCTGCTTGTCGGACGCCCCGAGGCCCGTGGGTCCAGTGGGGGCGCGCCGCCCAACCCGTGCCCCCCCCAGGCCAGCGAACGCCGCCGCCGCCATCCTCATCCTCGTCCTCGTCGTCGCCGTCCTCGTCGCCGTCCTCGCCGTAGTCGTCGCCCTCGCCGTCGTCGTCGCCGTCGTCGTCGCCGTCGCCGTCGCCGTCGCCGTCGCCGTCGCCGTCGCCGCCGTCGCAGTCGCCGTCGCCGTGGCCGTCGCCGTCGTCGTCGTCGTCGTCGTCGTCGCCGTCGCCGTCGCCGTCGCCGACTTCGCCGTCGCCGTCGTCGTCGCCGTCGTCGTCGCCGTCGCCGTTGCCGTCGCCGTCGCCGCCGCCGACGCAGTCGCCGCCGCCGTCGCCGTCGCCGTCGCCGCCGTCGTCGCCGTCGTCGTCGTCGTCGTCGGGGGAGGCCCCGCCCAGCCCGTGGGCCCCCCCCCGCGACCAGCGCACGCCCAGCGCGCGGTCGGGGGCCGCGCCCTGGCCGCGGGGCCCGGCGCCGCCAGCGCCTGGCGCGGCGGCCCCCCCGCCTAGGACGGGGCAGAAGCTCTGAGGGGCAACGACAGGGGGGAGGAGGAGGAGGAGGCGGGGGAGGAGGAGGAGGGGGGAGGAGGAGGGGGGGAGGAGGAGGAGAGAGGAGGGGAGGGGGAGGAGGAGGAGGAGGAGGACGAGGAGGGAGGAGGAGGAGGAGGAGGAGGAGGAGTAGGGAGAAGGGACAGGGGAGGGAGAGACGAGGAGGAGGATGGAGCGAGGGGCGAGGGGGGCAGGCGGACCAGGAAGAGGAGGAGCTCCTGGCCGAAGGCGCCAGCCCTGGGGGGTACAGGGGACGGACAGAACCCCCTTCAGCAAAACGCGGTTTAATGAACACGACCTCGGGCCCAAATCTGGCGGGCGCAAGCCTGGAAAACGACGGCCGCGGCGCCCTCTCGAGAACCGGAAACTGACAATTCACTAACCGACGTGTCAGGGTGGGGGTTCTGTCCAGCCCCGAGGGGATAAGGGGACAGGAAAGGAAAGGAAAGGAGGGCCGTACGCCCTTAGGCGCGTCGGCGCGGCTCAAGCGAGCACGAAAGACTTGTCGATCTCGAACAACTTGTGGATGTGGTTGTTCTGCCCATTATAGCCCGGGTGCCCTGGTGTTCCGAACGTGCATGTCGTTCACTGGCGTCAGGGTCTTGGGATAGGGATAGGGGGGAAACATCGACCTGGAATCGGCGCTACATCGCCGATAGTAATCCGCACTTTCCTGTGCAGGTTGGGGCTATCGGGACCCTTCGGCGATCAATGGGCCATTGGGGGTCGATGCATCCCCCCCGAATGCCTATCCGCGCCATCGTTAGGGGGCAAACAAACCTACCTCGCTTTTGACCACCCTCGCTTCCAAGAGATACCAAGCGATGCCAAACTACGGCCTGTACTGGTCAGGCCGCTTGACGAGGAGGCGCGTGGTATGGCTTGGTTTTGCCTGGAAGCGAAAGCGGGGTAGGTAATTCACGCTCTGAAAATGCCCATCCCCGCCATCGTTGCCCCCGAAACTTTGGTGCCTGGTCCATGGGGCCGGCCTCGGCCTCCGCTGCTCGCGCGCAGCTCGCAGGCAAGATCTGCGGCGGCGTCCCCGCGACAACTCTCGGGGCCTGAGCGGGCTCCTCCCTCTTCGGGACGCGAGGCGGAGGGCCCCGTGGAGGGGCAAGGTCTCCTTCGCCCAGGCCTTCCAGCCCTCCCCCCCCACCTTTTTCTTCTCCTATTGCTCCTGGGTAATGCCCCCGGGGTCGAGAAGCCCATCGTGTGACCACGGCACTTCGCCCATGGCATCGTCCCACCACCACACCCCTCGCGCTCGTCGTTTCGTTTTGGCCCTGGTGACTCAAGTCGCTCCCGATGTCTTGGACCACTTGGCGCCCGCGGATTAAAAAGTCTGGTCCTTGGGAGTCTACGTTAAGACGAAGCCAGGGTGAGGACAACTTCGGGGGGAGGATGAATCGAGAACCTCTGAGACCTGGCGGCTCTGGAGGATGTATCGGGCGTCGCGGCCTTCTCAGAGCGTTCTGGAACGCTCTGAGAGCATTTCAGAGCGCTCTGGGACGGATTATCCTCATCCTGGCCCCGTCTGATACGTGGCCCCCGGTGCTGTCCGAGTTGGGCCTGATTTGGGTCGGACTTGGAGCACATTTGGGACTGGATCTGGACTGCATGTGCCCCTTCGCAGGGGAGACGAGAGGAACGAAGAGGGGCAGGAGGAACAGGAAGGCTGAAGAGGAGCAGGAGGAAGGGCAAAATGTGGTCCAGATTTGTTCCAAATGCAGGGGGCCCGCTGGCGCGTGGCGTGGCGGGCCACCCGCCTAGGATGGGGTGGAAGAGTGCGGCCCATGCGTCTCGAGTACCTCTTCTTTGGCGGACATTCGCGATTGCCCACCAGCCGACGCCGGGTCCCGTGCAACTCGCCTGCGCATGGGCCAGCACGCCTGGCCATATTCAGCTCAGCTGTAGGCCCCCGTTGCGGGCGCAGTGCGAAACGACGCGCGCTCCTGGCTGGCTACGCAGGTTTCTTTCAGCGCAAGTCACCCAACCAATGTCAGAGCTCCTTCAGGCCTGCCGAGTCTCCTTCTCCGCTATGCGGGCTCGAATCGCAGCTAGCCGCTAGCCCTTGTCAAGGGACAGCGTGAGCAGACGTCTGCTGCGAGACAGTGGAGCTTCCAGCTCCGCACGACTGACACTGACGTCTCGCTCGGGGTGCAGTCCTTCCCGCAGCCTCCGAAACGCCGTCGCACAAACACTGCTTCTCTCATCGTCATTGCGAGAAGACGGCAGGGGGGGGCCTACAAAAGGGGTTCGAGATTTCTGGACGTCTTCGTCGGTTCCCTACGACGAGACTTGTGTCAGAATATGATTGGCTCAGGATTCAGGTGCTCCTGAGTATCTAGCGGCCTTCGTTTCTGCAGCCCGTGTAGAACAGTGGGGAATCTGGAAGGCATGGAAATCTGGGAGATCTTGCACGTATGGTTATCACGACTCCTTGCTCCTCTGATTCTCGGCGGTTCTCCAGCCTCGGAATGCTTTCCAGCAGCTGCGCCTCACCGAGAGACGCAGCCGCCGGAGGCCCGAGTTGTGACCCGAAAGCCAGGCGGATCGACCTCCAACGAATTCGGCCTGCCTGGCCCCAGGACAGCCCAAGAGGACCCCAAGACGTGCCAAGAGCCAAGAGTGCGCCAAGAGGACAGGTCGCTCATTTCTTCCCCGGTTTTTCAAAATGGGTTCGGCGCTCTCGCCCCCGAGGGCCTGCCCAGCCCTACGATCAGTACCCGTCGGTCGTAAGAAGCGGGTAGAAACATGAAGTAACAAGGCGTTGCAAGCAGATTGGGCTTCCGCCCGCCACCTGAAGAGGAAGTAACAAAAAGAAAACACTTGATCATTGAAGTAGGAAGGTGAATGCTTTCGTATTCGGCGTTTTGACATTGGGGAGAGGGGGGAGGGAGGGGTGTCTGGCTCCGGACCTCTGCTGCATGCGATGGTGTGCAACATTGCGTCCTGTGGGAGAGACCCCTGCTTGAAAACAGGCGCCAAAAGCAGCCACGATCTACTCCATCGGGGGAGGGGACATGGTGGGAGGGCCCGCGCCGATCGGCAAAACGAGCAGCAAGGAAACGATCCCAAGGCGCCTAAGATGTACTCGGATCCGAACATCCCCAAATACGTAGTTACCTTCAACGACTGGCGGGTACACCCAGGCTGGGCACGGAAAGCGTGGGCACGATGCCCAACGGCAGATGCTGTCCAGAACCAGCAGCGGCCGCTGTTCGGCAGGCGACTTCCGCCCTGGACGGACCAACCTCCGCGGCGGCGGCACCGGCGGCGAGCCCTGTCCAGAATCGGTGGGAGCTGCTGTCGGCTTGCGTCCCCGCCCTTTCCGCAGAGTCGGACCTGGGACAGAAGAAGAACATCCTCCCAAAAGCATGAGACCCTCCGCCGGCCACCCAGGGTACACAAGAACATCCAACAAACACGAAGCCTCCCCGAAGCGACCTCGATCTTTGCCCCGGTCCGACCGTGCCCACTTCGATCCTCCAGGCAAGATGGCCCAAGAGGCCTTCAGGCCGCCCCAGAGGGGCCACCAGGACGCCCAAGGAGGCCCCCAAGGGGACCCCAGCGCCACGGGGCACAGATCGTTGATTTCCTTCTCGACTTCTCAACAACAGCGCTCTCGCCCCCGAGGCCTCCCGACGGCCTCGGACGGCCCACGAGGCCTCCCATGATGGCCCCAAGACGGCCGGGGGCGAGGGGAGGCGGCATGAACCTGAGGGGACGGGCTCGGGGGAGAAGGGGTGAACGTCGATCTGGCATCGGCGGTGCCTCGCCGACTGACAGGCGATAATTATGCCCCCCCCCCCGATAGCGAGCCCACGCGCTCCTGGGCGGGGTGGGCCAGGGGCCCCTAGCGGCAGTCTTCTATGGGCGCTTTGGGGTCGACGCGGTCTCCCCCGAGCCCATCCCCTGCGGGTTCTCGGGCCACACCTCGGGCCTCTGGCGGCCCGCCGGGACGAGCCGTGCACCCCCAGAACGATGCCAAGGCTGGGCAACGGCCAGGAGCCGACGGTGCGCCCCTGAGCCCATTCCCTGATGGTGCTCGGGTCGCCGCTCGAGCCTCCGGCGGCCCTTCGGGACGATTTGTACACCTCTACTCTCCTGGGTCTCCACCAGGGTTCGTTTTGACCAGGACTTCGAGGCGAATCCAGACGTGGAGGCGAGGGCCTCCCAGGAAGCCCGAAGAGGCGAACACCAGGCCAGGCTAGTAGTATTGGTACCTTTTCCTCCTCTGGACACCGCCAAGATCGGTGGCGAGCCCAAGGGGGGGAAAATGAGGAAAGGCGGGCCGTCTCAGAAGGCTCGGAATGCCTCTGGGCCTTCTATGAGACGTCTCGAAGCCTTCCCCGAAGACGCAGGAAATATCTCAGCGAGCGCGAGTGCTCCCAGGAAGTCCCACCGCCTTCTGAGAAGGCCTTCTCCTCCGCACCACCACCCACTACGCACACGCGCGCGGAGCCACAGGTCCGCTACGACACGCGTCCGCGGATAGAGAAAATCAGCGCCATGGTAAGAGGTGGGAGGGAGGGGTAGGATGTCAGATGTTGACGCGAGCGCACCTAACTTGCCTCCTCCTCCTACTCCTCCTCCACCACCACCACCTCCTCCCCTCCCCCTCCTCCTCCACCTCCTCCTCCTCCTCCTCCTCCTCCTCCTCAACTTCCTCCTCCTCCTCCTCCTCCTCCTCCTCCTCAACTTCCTCCTCCTCCGCCTCCTCCTCCTCAACTTCCTCCTCGTCCTCCGCCTCCTCCTCCTCCTCCGCCTCCTCCTCCTCCGCCTCCTCCTCCTCCTCCTCCTCCTCCTCCTTGTATCCTCCTCGTCCTCGTCCTCGTCCTCGTCGTCCTCCTCCTCCTCACTTCCCCCCTCGCTCGCCCCGGACCCTGTGAAGACCGCCGCGAGCCGACGCTGCCCGCCACTTTGCCCCCAGCGCTGCCCCCGAGCAGCCGAGGCGAGAGCGAGGCCCCGCAGGGCGGCGAGGTGCCTGCCGCCTGCCGCCGCTCCGCGCGGGCCCGTGCGCCCAGCGCCCTCGCCGCGGGGAAGTCGTCGCAGGCGCCGGCTCCGCCTGTCGGCGGCGAGGAGCGGATCGGCGCGCGACGCCACATCGAATGCTCCGCCGGTCGGCGGCGAGGAGCAAATCGGCGCGCGACGCCACATCGAACGCTGCGCCTGTCGGCGGCGAGGAACAGATCGGCGCGCGACGCCACATCGAATCCACGAGGAGCTCGACATCACGCGTCCACCACGTGATCGTCTACGCCATCGATATCGCCATATCCGTCACGCGCCCGGACACGTCTCAATCGCGAAGGGCGGGGGAACGGAGGGGATGCGTTTTGGATTACGACGGCTGGGGCGCCGGGCGGGGCAGGTGGCAAACATGGTGCAGAAGGAGGTAAGACATGTCATAGGTTGTTTGGGTATGCTGGGTTTCGACAGTTGGCCGAGGGGTGGTGGAGGGGGGTGGGTTCTTGGTCTGGGCCAGTGCGTAGTCGATCTGCTTCTGCCAGTCTCGCAAGCGGACTGGGGGGGGCGTCCTGGCCAATCACCAAAAGCAGCCGCCAAAAGCAGCTACGATCTGGTCTATGGAAGGGGGGGGAGGGGGGGGGGCCACGGGCCCGCGCCGATCGGCGAAACACCAAATGAAAAGCAAAAAGCAAACAGCGACCAGGCAAGCGGCAAGGGGCGGTCCTGGTGCGATGCTTGCGCAATCAGATGGGGGGACGGGGGAAGGGAGGAGGGACTCCTCCTCCTCTTCCTCCTCCTCGTTCTCCTCCTCCTCCTCCTCATCCTCCTCGCCGGTGAATGGGCGAATTCAAACGACCGGCGTGAGCCGTCGCCGAAATGGACGGTTATACGACCTTCCTGTCTGGCTTGCTCTGGCCCCCTGTGGGTGCGCCGGTCTCCTGGTAGCCGCCGGGGCCGAGGAGAGGGTCCCGGGAGGGGCAGGGCCGGACGGAGGGAGCGGGGCATAGGAGGGTGGGAGGACAGAGGGGGGAGCTTCCCTTGAGTTTCCGCGGGTTGTTCCCGCTCCGCCCTGATGCGTGCGCCGCCACCCCGAAAGGGCCCAGAGGAAGAGTTTCCAACACCAGGTGCCACGCAAGCCGCTCCGCGCTGCGCTCTCGTTGGCGCGGCTGCCGTGAGGTGGCGCGTCCGCGCCGACGGGCTCGCAAACACCTCGACCTTCGGGACCCTGTCCCTAGAAGGGCGGGGCACGCAGCCGCCCGCTCTGCTGGTTGTGGGTCGCTGGGCGGGGTGCCTGCGCCCCCCCCTGCCGAGGCTGACTGCTGCTCGGCTTCTAGGAGCTCGTCCGTCTCGAGCTCCATCTCCTTCTCCTCCGCCGCCTTCAGCCACCTGCCAGCCAGGCCGCTGGCCCGGTTGCCCGTCACCCTCGCGGGACCAGTGCCGCTCCGCCGCAGGCCAACGGCAGGGCCCCCGCCAGCCGACCCTCCTCCGTCCATTCCACTGCCATGGAGGACAAGGAGGTCGCCGGCCCAGCAAGAAGCACGAAGCACGAAGCACGCCCGCAAATGAGCACCGTCCAAGGTGCTGCGGGTGCGGCACCAGAGCGCCGGATCAGGCTTTGCCCGTGAGGCTGGAGATCATGCCCTTGAGGCTGGAAGTCGAAAACTAGAGGTGGAAGCCTGGATGGTCGTCGGCCCAGGCGTCATCCAACTCCCTCTCCTCCGCGTCGTCGTCCAGGGCAGCGGGGGGCGCCGCGCCCCCTCCACGAAGTGCTCCCCCAGGGTACAGGCCGACGACAGAGGCCCCGCCGACGCAGCCCGTGGCCGCCGTCGCCCAGGGCCTTCACCTGCGCGCGGTCCACGCCTTCCGCCGCGCTGCCGTCGACGACCGCCACCTCGGCCACGGCGCCCTGCGCGCCGTGGCCCGCGGCATCGCCATCGCGGCCGCGTCGCCTTCGCCGCCGCCGCCCGGGGGCAGCCGCGGCGCTAGTGCAAGTACAAAAGCCATGCGCCAGCCCTTGGCACGGCGCTTGGGCACCACTGCCGCCACTGAGCCGGGTTTCTGGTAGGGCGCGCGGGCAGAAGAGTGCGAGATTGGCAGGAGGGGAGGGGGAAAGGAGGAGGACGACGACGGCGAGGGGAAATATGGACTGCCGACTCTAAGCCTCGCTGCAATAGCCTGTACACGCAGTGGGCCCATTTCAGCTTGGGGCGGCCGCGTCTCCGGACCAGATGCCACTGCTTTGGTGCATTTTTGTTCCAGGCTGGCATACCGGAGATCTCAAATAGTTGTTGTCTGGCAAAAAAAACATAGGAGTGCGCCTGCCTCTTGCGTAGTGCCTCGCTCAGACGGTCCGCCCGCGCTGTCCTCAGAACTGTGGCATTCGACACCCTGGAATAATCAGAATGGGAGATCCCCAATATTTCTCGAAGACAAGATGCTTGGAAACTGTCTAACCGTTGCCGGTCTCCCTGTTATAGCCACATTGATTCCAGATTGCACAATAGTTTCGGCACAACTATAGAGTCAAATGGCAGCACTTTTAATATTTTTGATATACCCGTATGGTTCCAGCATTTGGTCCGTGCTCTGAAAATCCCCCGTGCTTCGCCGAGCCGTCTCGTAACTTCTGGTCTGCATTCGGCGCTGCAGTGCAAGAGCCCACCCAAGTAGACTGCTTGTTGTACGTATTGGAGTGTCTGTAACGCGGGGTCCCAAATCACACCGTCGATATTTACTTTCAGTACCACGGTCTTCTTCCAATTCAGATCAAGGCCGTATTGTTTGCCCACTTTGACGGTCAGGTCCAAGAGAAGCTGAACTTTAAGGGAGCTCGCGCTCACGAGCATGGTGTCGTCCGCGCACGACACATCACTCCATGCCACGCACTCTGGCTCCACAAAGCCCATGCCCAGTTCATTGAACAACTTCTCGACGTCGAACAATATCACTGTTTGAACAATAACGAAAAAGTATGGGGGAAGTGGGCAACCTTGGGCTATTCCTGCTCGCTGCTGCCTGGTACGGGAGTCGCCTGTCGTGTCTTTCAAAAAGAAATCGCGGGCTTTGTATATAGCAGCGATAAGTGCGAGCATTGGTTCTGGAATACCAAGACGCGCCAGAACTTTGATCATCGCGTCGTGCTTTATCCTGTCGAACGCTTTGGCCCAATCAAGTAAAACAGCCACCACCCCAGGTTCTTTCGAGCATTCCGCAGCGTCGATCATGCGGCGGGCGGTAGTGATTGCATCGATTGTGCTGTGCTCCGGTCTGAATCCAAATTGCGTTGGTCGTATTCGTTGTTCTGCCCCTCCATGTTGCGATCGTTTTTGGATCATCGAGGCCACAACTTTGTATCCCACAAGTAAAAGAAAGATTGGCCGGTAATCCTCATGTAAAGAAGAGATTGGCCGCGGCGCTGGGCTGCGGAAAACCGGCCGCTGCCGCGCGCAGCAGGCTCTCGGCGGCTGTTCATGCGAAGACCTCGCGTCTGACAACGTGCCTGGACGACCAGGCGTTTCACGCAAAACGGCCGAACCAAGACAACCTGGCATGAGAGGGCGACGGACCACCGCTGCTCGCTCACGACACCGCATCTGGATGCCACCCCAAGCCTCCCGCCTCTATGAGGTCGGGGACCCTGGCCCCCCTCGGCCACCACGTGGGAAGCGCAGCTCGAGACTTAGCAGGGCCCAGAACCACCCCCAGAGCCCGTAGGCAGGTGGCCCGCGCCCTAAGGCCTCCCCCGCCTACGCAGTAGGTCGGAGTGACCCCGGCCCCGCACCCTTTAAACCTGGCCGGGCACAGCCGAGGGGGCGCCTGCAGTAGGACCGTACGGCAGAGAAGGATCGAACCTCACAGACCAAGACCGCCCCCGCCAGTCATTGCACCGGCCTCGCAGACGTGCTGCAGCGGATTTCTGCGTGGATTTCTGCCCGAAGCGGCGAGCGAAAAACGATGTGAATTTCGCGGGGATTCTTTTTGGTCTTCATTCCTGGGCCAAGAACTCCACACGAAATCCACGTCAAAACTCGGAGCGAAATTCTCCAGGACACTCCAGGCCCACCCCATCGTTTCTTGTACGAGATCCGCTCTGCGATGTTGGCCCCATGGCACTGGGGACCAACCCGGGGAGTGCGCCAAAGGACCACGGGGTATACGGCCCTTCCTATCGCAGGGCAGCCTCCACAAAGACCACGAGTTGGCGGACTTCAGCTTCCCTGGGGCCACGACGCGCCGCCCTCGCGCCAAGGCACCCCTCAATGGGCAAGTGGCTACGGGAGGAGGAGGAAGAGGAGGAGGAGGAAGAGGAGGAATAGGATTCGGATGAGGACAATGATGATGGTGATGATGATGCTGATGATGATTCTGATGATTATGATGATGACGACGATGATGATGCAGATGATGATGATCATGCCGATGATGATGATGATGTTGATGATGGTGATGATGATGATGACGACAAAGAGGAGGAGGAGGAGGAGAAGGAGGAGGACCGGAAGTACTGCCGAGAAGATGCGAGGATGAAGAGGATGAGGAGGAGGACAAAGACGCGGAAAAGGGGGCGGGGGAGGAGGGACATGATGATGCTGGTGATGCTGATGCTGATGCTCATGCTGCTGATGATGATTATGGTGATGACGATGATGATGTTGATGATGCTGATGCTGATGATGACCACTATGATGATGATGCTGCTGATGATGCTGAGGATGCTGCTGAGGATGATGACGCTGCTGTCGTTGATGATGATGATGATGCTGATGATGAGTATGATGATGACGACGATGATGGTTATGGTGATGACGATTCTAGAGATGATGATGATGACGATGACGATGACGATGGCGATGATGATGATGATGATGATGATGATGATGATGATGATGATGATGATGATGATGATGATGATGATGATGATGATGATGATGACGACTACGATGGTGATGATGCTGATGATGATGGTGATGATGCTGCTCTCGATTCTGATGATGCTGATGGTGGCAATGATTATGCTTGATGATGATAATGCGGATGATGCTGAATATGATAATGTTGATGATGCTGATGCTGATTATGATGATGCAGAATGATGATGACGATGACGACGAGGATGAGGATGACGATGATGACGATGAGGAGGATGAGGGTTAGGATGGGGATGATGAGGAGGAGGAGGAGGAAGAAGAAGATTAAGAACACCGAAACGCAGATTCGGGAAATTCGGGGGGAAGATCACCTACAATGGGAAATCGGCCCCCATCCCCCCATCTTCTCCCCCTTCTAGACCGGCGGGCCGCATCTTCCTCCTCCTTGTCTCCCCCTTCGGTCTGTTCGTACTCCTCCTGCTCCTCACCTGGTTATTGCCGACAGCGGTGAACAGCAAGCAGACAGAATGCGTCAACATCTCGCGTGCCTCTTGTCATTTTCTCGTCGCCCCCGCCATCCCGCCGAAGAGCAGCACCCAAGACGCATGACTCCTCCCGGCCGAGCTGCGGGGGTGGGATGGGAGCAGAGGGTCACGGGAGGGTAGGCACAAGGGGGGGCCGAGCGCAGACGGAGGCGATCCGCGCCCACCCTCGAGAGCTTGCCCATGCTGCTGGTGCAAGTTCTTCTTCTTCCAGGGGTGTGGGAGGCGGAGTGGGAGAGCAGAGGCGGGAGGCGGAAGGGAGGCCCTCGATCAGAGGGCCTGCCGCCACTGCCCAGCCGCTCTGACCCAGCTTGCCGGCGGGCGGCTTCTCGCGGTCCAGGTCTCCAAAGACGGCGGGGAACTCGTCGCCCTGTCGCCGGAGCCGGCAGGGAGGTCTTCGTGCGGGGGAAGGGGGAGGGGGGGGCTCCTTCCAGGCCCTCCCCGAAGCCAGCGTCAAAACTGAGCATCGCTTAACCGACTCCCATTCCCATAAGCGTGTCCTGGGCCCCACTGGCCGATGTAGTTACCCCCCTGGATGGGGATACATAGGCGGCTTCACTCGGGTTCCGAGGGGTATATCCCCAACTGGGGTGCTGAGGTGGTGGGGGTCTGGATAGGAATGGGGGATGGGGATAGGGGCCGGTCAAGCGATACCGACAGAAGGTTACAGGTTGCCCAGAAGCCCTCCCACCACTCCGAGGGGCGGATGTGAAGAGGAGAACAGAGCAGACGCCCAGGCCGCCCCAAAGTGTTTTTTTGTTCGGCGTCTTGGCTGCATGATGGGAGAGATGGGCGAGATTTGGCAGCCTGCAGACTTTGGTGGCGACGCATGGCTCTCGCTGCTGCTGATCGGAGCTGGAACAAGCCACGCCTCTGCTCATCGCAGCGGTTTTGGATCGCTGCCAGTTCTCCAGTTCTTAGTGTGGGCGTGAACGTTCTAAAATAACGACGTCAAACGTTGGGAACGTTCCTACACTTCCCTGATCAAGGCAATTCGCTTGGGCATCGTTTCTGGTTGCGCTGGTGGGCGTAATTACACGAGGTGTCAAGATGTTCGAGGGAAGTCCAGCCATGGGGGCGCCCCGAGAGGCCCAGAAGCGGCCGGAGACCTCGACCCTCTTTCCTCGACGCCCCCGATATTCCGAACATTCTGCTCCTCCTCCTCCTCCTCCTCTTCCTCCTCCTCCCCGGTGCGCCGAGGAGGGGGGGGCTGGGAAGGGAGCGGGGGAGGTGCGCAGCATGGCCCGAGGCGCGCGGGCAAGTGGGGGTCACACCGGGGCGTGGGGAAAAAACAGAGAGGAGCCGTGAGATTTGGGAGATCTGGTGGCCCGACCAGGATACGGTCAGGAGCTTGCTCAGCGCGTCGCGGCGGCGGCCCCAGCGACACGGCATGCCTTGCAAGCGCACAGCGTGTCGCTGCACTCCGCTGGGCGGGAGGCTGGGAGGACCTCGAGGCGTTGACTCCTGGACGTGGGGACGTGGTTTGCGTGTCGCGTCGAAGCGTGGTGAACAAGAAGCAGCAGCGAGACACGCTAAGCAAAAGGTCCCGACCGTATCCGCACATCCCTAGTCCTCAATCCTCATCTTGTCGGGTCGGACAAAACGGGGGAGGTGGTAAAGGGGGTTTAGCGAATCAGCTCACGCAGAGCTGGATTTCCTGGCGCCATCCGATCATGCGTCGAGGCGCCCGGCCAGCGGGGCCGACACTGGCTGCGGGTCCGTATCGCAGGTCCCGAACCGGTGCGGTGACAGACCGTGCGGCGAACTCGAAGCCCGCAAAGACCTCACCGCACAGCCCGTCACCGCACAGATCTGGACCCTGGAGGCGGCCCAGCAGACGTCCTCGAGAAGTCCTCGGAGAACGGCTCAAGAGACGTCCTCGGAGAGACGGCGCAAGTCCCAAACGAGCGCGGCCACCCCGAATCCCAACTGACTCACCACACGGTGCGGCCACAGCACCGTTTGGGGCCCCCCGAGGTCCTGGACGCCCCCGATCCTCCCCTCCTGGGCCAGGCCGACCTCATGTATTTGTCAGAACATTCGCCTGCACGCGCGAGTGACCCGAGGCAAGAGTGACCTTTGGTGCGCGGCTTTAGGGGCCGCGGGGGGAGGGGGGCAGGGGGGAAATTCAAGCGCGCAAGCCAGTAGTACTGGGGGATCCCATGGGACCCCTCTGGGCCCACACTGAAGGTCTCCCTCTGGGCCCACACTGAAGGTCTCTCCAGCCAAGGGTCTCTCTTGCGCGCAGCCGAAACGTGGACCCACGGAGGTCTGGACCCCTTTACTGGGACCGGCTTTTCCCAAGTGACGGTCCTGGGGCCCGGTCCAAGCCCCAGAAGGCCGACAATTGCCGAAGACCTTCCCTCGCGGTATTTTCGCAGCGCGAGGATGCGGGAAGCGTCCGCAGCAGCTGCAGCAGCCGCAGCAACAGCCGCAGCCGCAGCCGCCGCCGCAGCAGCAGCAGCAGCAGCAGCAGCAGCAGCAGCAGCAGCAGAAGGGCGGTCTCTCTCTCTCTCTCTATCTCTCTCTCTCTCTCTCAACGGGGGGGGTGGGCAGCTTCTGCCTGCGGCTCGTGGGGGCGGGCGGGTTCCAGCAGCGGGTGC